TTCTTGGAATTATTTTACGAAATGCGCAAAGCACGCAATGTTAGAAAGATTTGTATTAGTTAAATCCAAATGGATTTCTGAATCCGTCTGGATCTGTTGATGCAATCAAACAAACGCAATTAGTAACTAATTTGTATGTTTCCTTGGACGCAGCTGTTCGCCGGGACCGCCTGTATGTTCAAGTCTCACAATAAGGTTTGTTTCCTCTATCTCTGTGTGTGTGTGTCTTCGATCGTTGTGTTTGTCTCTAATATGCTCCCGTTTCGTCGTCTCGTGTCTCGTTTTATTTCCCTCTCTATGTGTTTGCATAATTCGCACATTTTCTCGCTCCATCTTTCACACCGAAACCTAACCTTTTTTTTGTTCCACGTTCACGATTCGATATTTTGAACAAAGATAAAAGACACAATAAATATAACGCACTGCTTGTCAACCGTAATGTCTTTAATTTCGTTTCACAATGGTAGAGTAGTTAGATCTCACGTCTAATTTCCGGAATTCTTAATTAAAAAGAAATTTCTTTTGAAAATTATACACTTTTTTCAAGATCCAAAATTCACATCCAAAGTTCACAGGTTTTACGATGAATCTCACGTTTAATTTCCAGAATTCTGAATCAAATTTCTTTCGAAAATTATAATATATTTTTTCTCACTTTTCTTAAAAATCATCGTTTCCAAGATCCACAAATTCGCAATGCACGATGACAGTCTCGTTTCTCTTTCCAAAAGAAATTCTTAATTAAAAGAAATTTCTTTCAGAAATTACACACTTTTTCCTTCTCTAAAAATTCGTTAACTGTCCACCTCGGCGAAATCCAATGGCGCAGAACTTCGTAGCTAATTATTTTCTCGAGGACGCGGTGACACGCGTTGCAAGAAAGTGAAACAGAAAAGAAGAAGAAGAAGAAGGGTGAAAATCCGAAGAATCGAATTAACGAGAACGGAAACTTCTTCTTTTCCCACCTCGTCGCGTCGTTGAAGGATGTTGCTGGCACGAATTTAGCGTCCATCTTCCCTCCACCTTCCCCCTTACGTTTCCACGTAATGCAATTTCAGCCGCGACGATCCTCCCTGCCCCTGGAAAGAGGCTCCAGAGACTCGTCCACTCGTTCGAATATTGTTTGCCCTCCCCTGTGCACGTCGACTCGTACGATTCGGCCTCGGCTATTTCACGCGTTGTTTGCGGAATAGTTTCGTCGACACTTGCCCTCGCCCCAGCTTTCAACTTATCGTATTTGTCCCGATCGAATCGAGTCGTTTGCTTTCGATAATAATTAATAATCGCTCGTGAATAAAATTATTTTTCACTCGATTCTCTCTCTCTCTCTCTCTCACGATCGATAACTCAAAATTATATTCCCTTTGACAATTATATCCTTATATTATTCCTTTTCGTATCCTTATATTCCTTTTAAATTAAAAGACAGGGAAATTTGACCCCATCTTATCCCCTCATCGTCAATAAATACCTTAATCGCAAACTTTTCTTTTATCTTTTATCTATTCTCTCGCTCTCGCTCTCGCTCTCTCTCGCTCTCGCTCTCGCTCTCTCTCTCTCTCTCTCGCTCTCGCTCTCGCTCTCTCTCTCTCTCGCTCTCTCTCTCTCTCTCTC